CATGTTAGCTTTCACATCAAATGGTCACTTGAAATATGAGTATGCGAAGTACACTATGTTTACAACTTGTTGAGTAACTAGGTGCTTTTATTACAAATACTAGTATTCATGTTAAAAGATAAGTGATAACTTTGGGGAAAATGTGTTGTGTGTCTTAAAAAAAAAAGTCAAACGTTTCGTGGCCCTTGTTACTTGAGTAAGTATGTTCTTAGAGGGTCTCTTCACCTAATGCCCTAAAGCTAACTAGTTTGGGAGTCATTGGTAGAAAACTCAATACATGGCTAACTTAGACAGTCTAAGAGAACTTGACATAAAAAGAAATAATAATAATAATAATAAATGTTAAAGTGTGAAGGTTTAGAGTTGAAACTTCTTATTAGGAATTTTCACACACACACTAAGTGCTCATAAACTAAATCTTTTAACAAGTGGTGTGAAGAATAGGATTGAGTATTTGAAGTTAAGAGAGTGTATGAAAACTTTTGAATATTTGAGACTTTATATCTAATTGATCTTTAATCCCTATTTTTCTTTGTATGGATATCATGTAGTTGCATTTTTACATTGGAATTTTGTGGGTAAATCCACTAAAAACCCTTATGAGACACAACTTATCCCTTAGCATGACTTAGGGGTTTAAAGGCTTATTGCACATGTTAAGTGCAATTATGATTCTTATGAAAATGAGTGAGGTTTTATTTTGGTCTTTTTATTTTGCTTGAGGACTAACAAAACTTAAGTTTGGGAGAATTTGATAATAAACATTTTTATATGCTTTAATCTATTATTTTAGCCTTGATTTTATTATTATTCATAAGAACAATATATGAGTTTCAATAGATTTTGCATTGTTTTCATTCTTGGGGCAGCAAAGAACTTGAATGCATAATAATAGGAGTTTTTTAGATTAATTGAATACTTTTTAAAAGTTGAGGGATTGAATTGAAAGAAGAAAGGTTCTTTTTGGGACCTAAATAAATAAATCTTAAGTTATGGGATCTAAGTACTCATCATATAAAAGCTAAAAGACCATATCTACAGTTTTACTATTAAAGAAATTGTGTAGAGGGACCATGAATCCGACACGGATATGGTGTCGACACGTATTCGTAGTGTCAATACTATGCGTTAAGTCATCTTGTTTTGTCTTGAATCCTATTTCTTTTTTAATAAGATTTCTTAAATTGTATAAATACCCATTCATAAATCAGATTTAGAGTTTTTAGAGGAGTCCAAGAGAGAGATGGTTAAGAGGAATTTAATATGAAAAAAATCAAAGTTTGACATTTTTTTATTATTAAATTGGTTTTATTTGTGCTTAAATTTTATTTTATAATATCATATATTTTTATATTTATCATGAAATTTTTTCCTTTTTTTTCTTTTCTTTAATTATAAACTAATTTAGCTATCTAAAATCACAATGTAGATTGATAAATTTGATATAAAATTTTATGATTTTATACTTTATATTGGCCATCATTAAAACTGATTTGAAAAGCATAATTGAGATTAAGAGAAAATTTTATACAACAACTTTTAGTAATATATATTATAAATTGAATAAAAACTAAA